GCGGATACAGACTAACACGGCTGCTACTCTGAAACCTGTCATGATTTTATAGACCTCTATCATATCCTCCTAGTTGTCTCTCTTCTAAGATGAACAATCAGTCTTCTTAATCTCTCCTCATATGGAAGCTGTTTCACACCCCTAATAATTTTTGCTGCCCTTCTCTGTACCTTTCCCAATTCTAATATATGTTGCTTGAGATGAGACAATCAAAACTGCATGCAGTATTCAAAATGTGGGTGTACCATGGATTTATATAGTGACATTATGATATTTTATGTCTTATTATCTCTCCCTTTCCTATTGTTTCCTAACATTCTATTAGCTTTTTTGACTGTCACTGTACATTGAGGAGATATTTTCAGAGAACTACCCACAATGACTCTTTCTTGAGTGGTAATAGCTAAATTAGACCCCATAATTTTGTATATATCATTGGGATTATGTTTTCCAATGTGCATTATTTGCACTTACCAACATTGAATTTATCTGCCATTTTGTTGCCCAGCCACCCAGTTTTGTGAGATCTGTTTGTAACTCTTTACAGTCTGCCTAGAACTTAACTATCTTGAGTAATTTTGTATAGTCAGCAAATTTTGCCATCTCACTGTTCACCCACTTTTCCAGATCATTTAAGAATATGTTGAAGAGCACAGGTCCCAGGACAGATCTGTGGGGGACCCTGCTATTTACCTCGCTCCATTGTGAAAAAGGACCGTTCTGTCCTGGAGTTTTAAAGGTCCAGATTCTCAAAGGTATTTAGGCTCCTAATTTCCATTCATTTCAATGGGAGATATGCACATAGGTACCTTTGAGGATCTGGGCTAAAGGAGATTTATTTTAGTTCAAAGCCTGTTTTTCTTTCTTTTATTTTTCATTTTTGAACCACTGTTTTTTATTTTATTTTTTTTAGCATATGCCTTTACATCAGGTTGCTTGAAAAATGACTTAACTAAAATTGTATACAAAATAAATATGTTAAAAGAATGTTAATGTTGAAAAATCTATCACACAAATATTAGTAAATGAAGAATTAACATTGCCCATGGAACTTTAATTTGGCCCATTTGTGGGAATGCATTATGCTACTTTCTGTAATTATATGATAACTAGAGCTTCTCAATTAAATGTTTTTAAAAATTTAATGTGGGCAAAACAATGTAATTTTTTCTTAATCTCATTCTTAGAAAGAGGTTCAAAAATTCAACCTGTGGCAGACACCCAGAAGCAAAATTTCAACTCAAACAGTTAAAGTTTGGCAAAGGTATAAGCAACTTAAAGCAGATAACAATGGAAAATGTTAAGTGATCTTAACTATAGGCCATGCTACCAGTTCCATTTGCAATAATGTCTTACTGTTTATTAGACGTACCCTGTATATTTTGGTGTGTTTTAAATAAATTTTTAGTTTGTAATAATATAGCTGTCTAGTAAAACATTTATTGCTAGTAAACTCTGTTTACATTAACTGACTACCAACAATGAAGTGATGTTCTGAAAATAACTTGGATACAGGTACCAGTTAAGTAAGATGCACAATAACATTTTCCCAGAATTACTGTATTTAGTTAGACAAGGTGTGTGAGGTAATATTTTTTATTGGCCCAACTTCTGTTGGTGAGAGAGACAAGCTTTTGAGCTTATACAGAGCTCTTCTTCAGGTCTGGGAAACTAAATCAGTGTCACTGCTCATGTTGTGGAGTTTCCATTTCAGATTGTAAAATTCAGTATCTTCCGTTATTGTATGCAGTGTTGTTGTAGTCGTGATGGTCCCAGGATATTAGAGAGATAAGGTGGGTGAAGTAATATCTTCTTTCGACCAATTTCTGTTGGTGAGAAAGACAAAGCTTTTGAGCTTTTCTCAGGTCTGGGAAACTAATGTCACAGCATACACCAATTATGTTGTTATGCTGGAGGTTGGGTGGCTCCCAGAAAGCATATCTTTGATCTATGAAGCTGATGGACATGCTAACCACCTTCTCTTCTGGCTCAATGAGGGAACAATTAAATGCCTTTTGTTTAGGGTTGCAAGCAACCTCTCAAATTGTTGGTAATGGGAACCTCAAGGCCCCACCCCTGCTCTGCCTCTTTCCCTAAGGCCCCATCCAGTTGTTTGCTCCTCTCCTTCCCCCGCCCCCCCCATCACTCACTGGATCCTCTCAAGGAGCCTACCTGCAGGTAGGAGGTGGCCCCAACTGAGCAGGGGTTGGTGTGGGTTAATGACCTACCCCCGCCCTGCGGTAAGCAGACTTTTGGTTCAGGTGCCATTTAGGGTTACCAGGTCTGCTTTTCGACCAAACTTTCCAGTTGAAAACCAGGCACCTGGCAACCCTAAATGGCACCTGGACACAGAAGCCAAAAACCAGACTCTCTGGGTATAACCCGGATGGGTGGCTACCCTACTTTTGTTTAGTGATAGAAAAAACAGTGGACGCCACAAAGACTAGACTCAATACAAACACTAGGGCTGGGGACTGATTTGGTTGCAACTGTGTCTATGTTAAAAACAAAAAAACAGCCAGAGAGCAGAAAGAAATGAAAGGTAACAAGAGAAGCACTTATAGCATGGCCTTGAGAAAAAGCCAAGAGAGAACTTCTTAGGCAGAGTGCTGGCTGGAAAGGCTTGAAATTGTAAACAAGGAGATAGCCTCCTATCATTTGATCCTACTGTGTTCAGAGAAACAGGACTTTGTACACATTCTTTATAAATAAACAGGATTGCATCAAATAAATACCTGATTCTATCATCAATATCTCCACCTGATGGAAACAACCCACAAGGCCCTGAATATTGGCTAACTGTTCTGATCAAAAGGGGGTAACAATATTATATCAATATATAAATGATAATAAACTTGTAATTGTGCCTGGTGAATCATTTGATTTCAAAACATATTAACATAAACCAGTATCTGTATAAATGATGAAGTATGGCTGTATGCCTGATGTCAGTGGTCTCAGCGGAGGCACAGAAGTCCACCAAATCAGAACAGGTTGTGAGACAACGCTTTACGTCAGTGCCTAGACAACAGCAGAAAGAGAAGGGTTCTCTAATTCACTGAGACTGTAAGGCAGTGGCCCCAAACTGTGGGGTGCACCCTGTAGGGAGGCACAAAGGAACATTTGGGGAGCATGGTGGGGCCCGGGCCAGCCCCCATGGAGATTGGGGAGGGAGCACCACATAGCCATGCCCCGCTCCCAGCTATGCTCCAGCCCTGCCTTCAGCCGTGGCCCTGGCTCCTGGCCCCGCCTCCAGCCTCGGCTCCACACCCGGCCGTGGCCTGGCCGTGTCTCTGCTCCCAACCCCTGCCCGACCTGAGCTCCTGGCCCCAGCCTTGGATTCCGGTCATGGCTCCACTCCTGCTCCCTGCCTCTACCCTGCACCCAGCCACAGCCATGGCTGCCAGCCCCCACCTCAGCCTGGCTGCAGCTCCGCTCCCAGCCCCAGCCTCGGCTCCCAGCCATGGCTCTGTTCTCACCCCCACTCCCAGGCTTGGCCCCTGACAGCGGCTCCGTTCCCGGCCCTGCCCAGCTCCTGGTCCCGGACCCATTCCCAGCTGCGGCCACAGCCCTGGCCCCTTTAACCCTGTCTGTGTCTCCCCCCCCCAGGAGCTGCGGCCCTGTCTTGGACCTGGCTCCCAGGGTGACATGGACAATGGTAAAGGGGGCACAACCCTGAAACGTTTGGGGACCACTGCTATAAGGTATGTAAGCATACAGAGATCTATGTTTCTTTTAGTACATGTCTAATTTCCATTTACAGTAATTGCCTATGGAAAAATTAATTGACACCATATATAATTATTTATTAAACATGTTCTGGCATCTTTTTATATTACATAAAGGAAGTGTTTTCCTTTTTTATACTACTTTCCCCCTTATCAACCAGGCTTAATAATAAATAAATCATGTTCGCTTTTAATTAAAGGTTTACTATATTCAGATGTAATAACTGTTGTTGGCTGCCACTGAAACTGATGTAATTTTTGTTGGCATTACTTCTGATTTTTAAGCCAGTTTAGTAGTTTATAAGTTTGAGTGCATGAGCTGTTTGTGACTTTCATATCATTTAATAACCTTTATTTACCTGTCCAAGATTTTAAGTGTTAAATCATATTTTAATGTAATAAGATAATTTGATGATTTAAAATCATCAACGTCTAAGGCACATTCTGACGAGTGTAGGGTTTAGGAGGAAAAATTCTGTGAGATACAAATGCAAGCTGAATCCCTTCCCAGAGCTGGCAGTTTCTCATGGAAACACTGTTTACTCAAAAAATTCCTGACCTGCACTACCCATAAACCAACAAGTCAAATAAAAACCTGAAATTGATTATTCTTTGAAAACGCATGATTTTTAGTCAATCTCATGATTTTTAAGGACCTGACTCATGATTTTTGAATAGCTGCATTTGACAATATTGAATTCCACACAAGTGATGAAAGGATGCATTTTATTTATATTGTTGTGCCAGCTGCTACACAATAAGGACCTTGGCTGGGGCTTTTGATCACTGCCACAATAAAATAAAATAATAAGAAGTAAATAATAATAAACGTAAATAATATTTTTAGAAATTGCATATTCTCCATATATGAGTGTTTCCTTTCTGGCTTGTAATGAAAAAAAGGGTTAACAGCCCTGTGACTGAGGCATTCTGGGAGCTGTAGTGCTTAGCAAGAATGCTGGGAGTGGTAGTTTCTTTTCAATCTTTCTCTTCCTCTCTGTAATGGCTGCATGTTATAAGGTACTGTCTCCGTCTGTTCTTCTCTGGGCAAG